ATTCTAAACCTGTATTTTTCAGATACCATGCTAAGGCATTTCATGTGTTTAGGTTCACTTAGCAAACAATGCTTGCCGTGTGCCCAGCACAGTTGGAGTTATTCTACAAATACAAAATCATTTCACCCTCAAAACAACCTTGGGGAGTAAATATTATCATCCCAGTTTACAGTTGGGGAAACTGAGCCATAAACAGATTATTCAGCTTGACGAAAGTCACACAGACACTGCGTGACTCTGTGTCCAGACATTGTAGTGAGGGCAAAAAATGTTTATGCAAAAATTAATGGAGGGGCAAATGTGCGGCCTAGTAGCTAAAGGCCCATGATCCTATGCCTGTGTGCCAAGGAGGAAACCCGCCACCAGTTCCCAACTGCAGTTTCCTTCTAATGCGACCATGAGAGGCTATGGTTATGGCTCAAATACTTGAATCCCAGCCACACATGTGTGAGATCTGGGTTGCTTTCCCAGCTCCCAGTTGTGGTCTGGCTCGTTCCAGCCACTATGAGCATTTGGAGGTGAACCAGCAGATGAATATCTCTGCCTGTATTTCTACCATTCAAATAAACAAATACAATTTTTAAATAGAGATAAGAGCCCACCTAAAATGCCTTCTTTTGACATAGGGTTTGGATATTACAGAGCAGTTAAACTTAGGTAACCAGTAGCATTGTCTTCTGTCTCATACTGGTGAGGCCTAAGGCCTGCTTACAGGTGCACATAAAGATCTGCCTCCCTGCTGGCTCCCTTGTCACGTGGCCACTCCTCCTTCTCCAGTTTGTTTCTTTAGGCTGACATTTGTCAGTCATCAGTCACGTGCCAGACTTTGTTCTTGGTACAGTGGAAACCTAGGCAATCATAGTTCAAGATGCTCACAGTATATTGGGAAAGTGAGGAAACAGATTAACAACCACATGCATGGCCAAAACAGGACTCTGCTGGGCCTCTCAGCCTTCTTGAAGGAAACATACCTCACCATCTCTTGACTCAGAACTGGAGCCAACACGTTTCTTTACACAAGAGGCAGGAGCCACTCCCCGCTAGCTGACTAGGTCAGGGACAGTTGGTTGCTTGCCTGGCTTCCTCCTTCACCATCTCCCCCAGTTGTCTTTCCCTTGTTCTTTGGACATTTGCTTCCTCTCTCTCTTCCTTTCCTCTGCTTTGCGCTTAGTCACCCACCAACCTTCCCAGAGCCTGTCTCTGGGCACTTCATGTCTAAGCCTGTGTGGCTTGGGAAAGCCTGACCCAGGTCTTGCCACACTCACAGGAAGTTGTTTTGCTCCATGAGCTTGGGATTTCTCATCTCTGGGAACTCGACAGTGAATGGAACATCCCAAGATATCTCCCTTATTCAAGCATAGTTTGGTCAGAGCTGCTAAAATCAGAAACTTTTCTGGAAGAAACACATCAGAATGGGTGTTAGAGGAGATAGCAAGCATGACCTGAGGACAAAGCAGGTGAGCTCTATCCTGCTCTCGGCCACCTGTATGCCCTCAGTGCATCAGCCCCTCCCCTCACAGGGCCAGGCAGTATTCCCAGGAAAGAGCCACAGCCAAGGGCAACTGGGGAGCAGCTCGGCTTGGGATTTCTAAGAGGACTCACGAAGCTGATGGTGATGAAGCTGAACAGGCTATCCCCCTACTAATGATGCTCTGTATCCATTAGCAGGTGTGTGAACAATACATCTTGAGGAAAAGGTCTTTATTAACTTTTTTGTCTTTCATGAACTCTATTTCCACATCTTAGTTTCCACTATAAAACCTCGAATACTGTCATTTCCAGATTTTGGTTGCCCCTGGATCTGCTTGTGATGTTTCATGTTCGGAACTTGCTGGTAGGAGTGAGGCCAGTGACTCAGTCTTCCTTCTGCATTTGATGCTTTGTTTTTTCTTCTAGAAATGCTAGGAAAGCCAAGTTGATCTGTTCAGGAATAAGGATTTGGGACAGGCTGGGAAGCAGAGGGATAGACTTTGGGATGAGGGCAGATGCCTATCACCCCAACATTTTCATTCAGTGGCAAGCAAGTGCTGGAGTCAGATGCAGGCCTGGCTCTGTGCCACACTCAGGACCGAGAGAGACCAAGAGCGCTGGGATGATGGCAGCAGGGGCAGTGTTTACTTCCCCAGAATTCCTCTGCACTGTTCACTGCCTGTTCTTCAAGAGCAAAGCCACCAAGGCAGATCAAGCATCACAGTTTGCTCATCCCCTGAAGTATTTCACCACAGGATTAGCCGATTTCGGGGAAAAGATTTAGGAAAAGAGCTGGCAAGGATTGGGAGCTGGGAGATGGGATGCAGAACAAACATTGGTTTGGCAGCTTTTCAGGCAGGCAGTCACGGCGTTCTTCAGCATGTAGTTTTTGACCCACACGCTCAGTGCGAACTTGGGCTGGATTCTCCATCCTTTGAGACAGGTCTAGCAAGGATTACAAAGTTGTTCCAGGTAAAATGGATAACAGAAGCTTCAGGCTTACTTGGGTTTGTCCAGGCGAGCCTGAAAAGGAATGTTCCACCTGATTTTAGAAGTATCAGTGACTGCTGATGTTATGTTGGGGCTTTTGATTGATCTGGATTTTACTCTGTTGGCTCTACCTTCAGACCAGAGAAGGTCTCCCCAAGAAGCTGTTGAACTTTTCTGGACAATAAGATGCTGGACTCTATGCTTGGTATATGCTTACAATGAAGGAATTTCAACTGAACTTGAACTGTGGTTACACAACAAGGTAGAGGAATCCACCATGGAGGGAGGGTTATGGGAGGGGTGGGGGGAAATCCCAGTACCTATAAAACTGTCACATAATACAATGTTATTAATAATAATAAAGAAAGAAAGGAAAAAAGAAGTATCAGTGATTCATCAGATGCACCAAGTGGGGGAAAGAAATGATGGGTAAAAGGATGGAGAGGTGGGAAGGCTGAGCTGGCAGGACTGAGGGTCTAGAAGCACGGTGAGGGTCTAGAAGCTGGCAGAACTCAGGGTCTAGACATGGTGAGCAAACTTCAGGAGTGGCCAGGCCGAGTGCCTGCCTGCTCCCCATGGATGAGCAGGGGCTGCTGCTGGCAGTCTTTGGGGAGGAAGGGAGTGGAAGAAGACAAAGCCCAGCCCTAGGCCCCCATGCCCACCCCACTCTGGGATTTCCAGGATTCCTTCCTTCTCCTGTGGGAGTGTTTCTGGAATGGGATGGCTGACAGACAGACTGCAGAGAAATCTGTTCCCTCTGGATGTTTGGTAAAGGATTCTCTTGGTACAAAAATCTGGAGCCAGAGGACTCCAGAAGCAACTCTAACAGTTCTAGCATCCAGCTCCCTTGCCAGATTCAGCCTTCCCCCAGGTCCTCATACCCAGCCTGAGACCATGACAACTGAAGGGACTTGCCTTCACTTCTCTTTTATTCAGACACCACTTGGATAGTGGTCAAACAGCAAAGGCAGAAACTACAAACCCACACACAGTATAAATTATGAAATCCATATTGTACAGTGTTGACAGAAGATGCTGAGCCACAGGAACAGCCTCCACAGTCCAGTGTCTGAAGAGCCTTGAGATGTCTCAGCCCCCGAGAGTCTGTGACAGACTTGTGGCACATATCGAGCCACCATAGCAAGACCAAATTTTCCCATGATCCTGGGCACACCCACAGAGGCACACACTGTAGTGAAGTGGGTTCAGGGGACAGTTTTTAACTGACCGGCAGCTCAGTAACAAGTGAAGTGGACCCAGTGACACCTTCTTGTGGCTTTGGTGGTAGGGAACCCCTTGGCTCCTCTGGGAGTGACAAGTACCCCCACAACAGTGAGGAAGGGAACCCAGTTTTGTTAGCCTGGATATTGGGGGAGCACATCTCAGCTATTCCATGCTAGCCTTGCTCCACTATCTGGCCCACCAGTCCTCACCTATCGCTCCCAGAATGAACGAATGAAGTGCATACCCAGGGACCTGCACGAAACTGGATGGTCCCAAACAGTGAGCCAGAGCTCCTTCAGCCACTCGCCAGCAATATGGTACTGGGAAAGTTACCTCACTCCTCTAAGCCGCCTACTTTCCATCTGTAGAGCTGACAGTGTCAACACCCAGGGTTATCACAGGAATTGCTCAAGTCAGATATTGCAAGAACTGCACTGGACTCAAGTCAAATGCTGAACACCTGCTTTCTTCCTGGCCTCTCTGTCTTCTAGTTCTTCTTATTTTCCCATTTTGTTTTTTCACATTTGTCTGTTGCCAGTTATGGAATACCAATGGCACCAAAATTCTCTGAACCAGTAGTCCCTCCTCTCCCAATACTTTTCCAGTATAAATCTGTGCCGTGGGGATGGCCAAAGTATATGCCACAGGTCCAGACACCATGTGAGCCCAGGAGAGAGAGGTGTGTGGCTTATGGGTACGCAGAGACCTGACACTCAGGAATGAGGGGCTGTGATGGTGGAATGATACGAACAAGGAATTTGAGTCAGGCCAGAAGCTGGAAAACGAGGGTTGGTGCTGTTCATAACTTTTAACACGAGCAGTATCTTCCACCTCTGCCTTTTCCAGGAGTGGGCAGCCCAAGGATAATGGAGACTTATCTTCCAGGTTGGCTTGTCCATCAAAAAGCCAGTTGGATGGGTCCTGTTCCACAGCTCAAGTTCTGCAGCTACTTCCTATCCATCCCATCTTACCTACACATCCCTTTATGCATTGTTATACAAAGCTCTCTAGAGTACAGGCTGCCCTGGACAGAGACCCTGTGTGTTCACTTAGCACCTTAACTTACAGTCCCTTAATTGAAGTCTTTTATGGTAAAGCTGTGAGGTAGTAACACGACAGGTAGCCCCTATCCTTTGACAGTCCCTCTCCTTTGCTAAGGAGCCTACTCAAGGTAACACAGTAAGTATAGCTGCCACACAATAAAACTAGGCCAGTGCAGGACACTGGGCTGATGCCCAAAGACCAGAAATGCACTCTCCTTCCCCAGGCTTCAGTGTCATGGTCCTGGGCTCTGTCCAGACCAACTCCACTACTCTTCATACCAGCGTGGGTTTCAAGTCATCTTTGAAGTTCACGATAGGCTTGGAGCGGGCCCACAGCTTTTCCCAGGAGGCCAGCCCCTGAGCAAGTTCAGGGTCAGAGTCGGAGGTGTCACTGTCACTGGAGTCCAAAGAGCTCTGGAAGCAGATTTCACAGTAGGGCCGGTGGCAGCGGCAGAAGAACTCATCAGAGCTGCTGGATTCCGTGTCAAGGTAGGGGCACTGAGAAACCAGGGAGGGGCAGCCCTGGGCTGGCGGAGGCCACAGGGGCCGCTGCTCTGGGAGGGCAGTGGAGGCTCTGTGGGGGTGTGGTGCTGCAGGACCTGGCGCCTGCCCCTGGAGGGCAACACTGCTCTCTTCCGCCCCTAGGGTTTCTGTCTGGCATGGTTTGCTGCCCTCCAAGAGGCCCAACCTGACTCGAGGGTCTGGGAGGAGTAACGGTTTCATGGGGGAGGGTCTTGGGATCCTGGAGTCAGCAGTTTGGGGGGCCAGCCTGGGGCTACCTGCATTCTGCACCTTCAGCCCACCATGTGTCCCAGAAAGAGTCCGATTTGCCCGACGCCCAGCATATGAGGGCACTGAGCCTGGAAGGTGGGCACGAGCTCGTCGCCTCCTCACCAGGTAGGGGCTGAAGCCCAGCTCCCTGTGGACAGCTGTCTTCTGGGGATTGGAGGCCACGCTGTTCTTTGAGGGCTGCTGGGGATGAGCCAGGGAGCTTAGGAGGGGCGCCTCAGGGCTGACACCCAGGTCTTCTAAGACTTCCTGCAGCTTCTCCCTGATCACAGAGTTGACTCTGGGCAGGCGCCTCGGAGATCCTTCCAAGTTCTCCAGCTGCATTGGGCTCTGGGGACGGGAGCCCCCTCCACCTGGCATGGCACCCTGGCTAGGGGCCACCAGTCCCTGGTCTCCTCTTTCCGGACTCTTGCTGCAAACCAAGTCTAAAGGGTCAGAGAAGTCTTTCATGTCACACATCTTCTTCTGCCTCGTGGAGGGGCTGGTGTTCCCTGAAGGCTTCTGGAGGCACTGCCCATGTAGCAAAGGACCTGGGATGTCCTGGGAGCCCTGGGCAGCACCACCACCATCATTTGGAGAGTCAGGGGGGGCTTCCAAAGGCCGCTGAGCTGTCAGGCCGTGGGCAGAGGCCAACTCCAGGTGGTCCTTGCTCTGGGAGGAGGCAGGGAGGACAGCGGACGGTGGGGGCTCATAGGGGCACTCTGCTGACATCAGCCTCACCAGCTTCTCTTTGGCATTGTTGACTTGTTCCTGCAGGCTCTCGATCATGGCATTTTTCTGTGAAATAAAAGCAAAGCCATCAACCAAACATGCTGCTGGGGTCTCCGTACCACTTCTCATGGGGACTAAATGTCGTGCCACAAGAGCTTGGGCTGAATCTCAGGCCTTCCACTGTACGGGCTGATGACCTCTGAGGAGGCCCCTGCCTCAGGGGATTGGAGCTGATGCACGCTGGGTGCTTCAGCACAGTGACTGACATGTGGTGCTTGACTAGGCCAACCACGACTGGCTGCTGTTAGGATCTGTACCTCCCCATGTCGTCCATGAGGAAGCAGAAGACACATCCTAGCTCCCCATTAGCTCCTAAGAGCCCTCTCCTCTTGCCCCGAACTGAGAGAGCTAGCTGCCTTTGTGGGCTACCTGCTTCCATCTTGGGTGTGTCACACTTTGGCAGAGCACACATACATCTGAGCACATCCCAGGGCATGAACAGACAGAGGAATGAGCACTTGCCTCTTGCTAAGGAGCCTAGTCAATTGGAAGGACAGGGAAGAGGGTAGAGACTCTTTGTTCGAAAGAGTAAGAACAGAGTCAATGAAGCACCACTGAGAATCTCGGGTTAGTTGAAGCTTGGCGAGGGGGGGAGGAGTGGGGACAAAAGGACAAAGCTGCCCCATGGCAATATCAATTGCCAATATCTCCCAAAGAAGTGTGTGCATCAGGAGTATTGGAGAAACGTCATAAGAAAAGGACAACAAGGCTTGTTGGGACCAAGTCTCTGGCTATAGTAGATCTAGAATGGAGCACAGATGAATGAGGCTGGGGCACATCTCCTGCTGAATGGCCTTCCTGTTACATGGATGTTAGTGGAAGGCCAGGCAGTGCTCAGTGGGTTTGGCAGGTAAGAGCACAGGAGTGTGCCACTTGCAAGCACAAGACTGTGGGGAATGGATGGCAGCATGGGCAGTGGGTGTGCTGGGTACAGCTGTGCCCTGCATTTCTGACTGTACATTCACTGCTCGGGCTTACAGGAACAGCAGCAGGACGAGATCTTCACTACAGCTGCAGGTCTCGGGGCACACAGCAGAAGGCAATATGCCAAACCTGAAGTTCTAGGATGTGCTTGTTTGAACAGCAAAATGTTGCTTCTCTGCTACCATCCTCTAGGAGCTGAGCATGAGCACTTGGGTACCCACTGGTGGGGCTCTACAAACCAAACCAAAGCATCTGCCCCCCTTTCAGGAGAGCTAATCCGGCTGCCTATAGGTTGGCCCCGTGGTTTCTACTCAAGTTCACATGGGAGAGTTACCTATAAACAGAAGAGTAACATAAGTAAAATAGCTCAACAATTTGTCCAGCCACAAGGCTAGCTGTCCGTGGATACACAGGGAGAGGAATTTTCTGGTACTTCTGTTCCTCCCAGTTTTACCCTGGCATAGCCTGCTGCTTTCATCATTAGGACAGAGGCCAGGGCCACTGAATGACTGGAGAAGAAGGCAGGGAGGGGGCTTTCAGCCAAGCACCTGACTGCCTGTTCCCCTTCTCCCTGCCTGCAGAGTGATAAGGTCTGGGTGTTGCTAGCTGAGTATGCATGACTCAAGGACTCACCAGGAGCAGAGTGGACGAGGAACACTGAGACATGAGGCTCTTTGCAACATCTGGGCTGTGGCAGCTCTCCCTCCTCTCCCTGTCTGTCTCTGAAGGTCTCCTGGGGGTGACTGTGATGGCTGCACACGACCCCCATCTTCTTCCACACGCCCCTTCTGCAGCCCACCCCACATACTGTCAGGCTGTCTTCAGGAGGCTCCTTCCTGCTCCCAGAGTCGGGGAAAAGCCTTAGCCAATGACAACCATGTTAGTGGGTGAACTGTAAGTGCTGCCTCTCTGTCCCTTTATTGGCAACCTCCTTCGCCTGTCAAAAACCAGTATAAACCGTGACGGAGGAAGGGGCTCCACTCTCAGCAAACCCAGCATCCAAAGCTGTCTGTGGACAGACTTAGACATGTCAGCCCCAACAGTACATTTCCCTTTTACCAGAAAAGGAAGTGGGACTTTGTTTTCCTCATGGCTGCATGCTAACTAGAGGCAGGGTGTGAGGCTCCTTCATTGTCAGACCAAAACCGCTGCAGCTGGAGCCCAGCAGCTGCAGTCACACGAACTTATGAATGATGACTGTGGGCTCTCCGTGAGGAAAGGGGGGAGGGGCGGCGGGAGCCAAACACGAACAGACGCCTTTCACAGGGTGTAGGCCACAGACGAAACACAATCCACCTGTGGTTTCTGTGCTTCAAGGAAGAAAATCAAGAGGTGAATTTTTTTCTGCTGCAAAGTTCAGAAGAGGCATCTTTCCAGTTCTTGGAAGCTTCTCGCTACTATTCTTCCCACATACCCGGAAGTCAATGGCAGATGCTGTTCAGTTGCCTGCAGACCCCCAGTTATCTGGGCAAAAGGGTGATGAATGAGACAATGAAGGCCAAAGAAGAGGAAGGATGCATGGGAAGGAAGTCAGGACTTGCACATGTAACTGTCTACCTAAGGAGTGGGGATGCAGATACTGAGCACCCCTTAGCCTGCCACGGGGCCAGGGAGTGCTGCTGCTGCTCAGGCCAATGCTGGGAAAGGCACACCAGTTGTTGTGTGGGTCAAGGAGGCCAGCTCGCCCAGCCTGCATAGTCTGCACCTGTGCTGGGCCCTTCCTGTACAGGTGCACGATTCTTTCCTCCAGAGCAGAGTCGGGGGGTTCACTGTGTGGGAAGCCAGGCAGCATGGCAGAATGGAAAGCATGTCACAAAGCAACATGTGCCAGGCAGGATGCTTGGCTGTTCCAATCTTAGCTGACTATGAACGAAAGCCATCCTGGATGTTCCAGCCAAGCTTCTGGCCTCCTGTTTAGAAAAAAAAAAAAAGAAAGAAAGAAAAGCTTCTTTGAAGACTTCACAAGTGTCAAGGCAAGGTTATTCCCTTGCCAGGTGTGAAGAGGTCTGATTTTGAAAGCATGGCTAGAAAGCTTCATAAGCAGCTAAGAAACAGGCAGGATTGGCTCCAAAGGGCAGCAAAGGTCCATATATACAGGAAAGGGCCATGGAGCAGAGGGATTAGCTCAGAATTACCTGGGCAAATCTCAACCCCCTCACTAGGAACTCCGAATGCCCTAGTCAAGTCCATGGTGATAAGAAGCAGTTTCCCATAGAATAGCTACTCAGGCATGTTCTGTACCAGAAAAAAATATGGCCTTGTTGTTCAGCTGGAGTCCAAACACTGACTAATTCCCCTGGGCCTGGTGCCTTCTTCCTGAGGAATACAGCCCCTGCATTCTGCCATGCGCTCTCTTTCAGCCTACACCATACTGTCCAGGTCTGGGAGAGGGGCCAGCCCTGGCTCAGGAACTGAGAATGGCTGGGGGCTGCCTGTCAACCAAGTCTCACTCTACCAGTGCTACAGTGACTCTCAGAGGTCCTTGGCTGACCCCCTTCCCTGGCTGTGCACATATCGTGCAACAGCAGAGGTTTGTCAGGAGGTGGACATCTCTTATCCATACTTGAAAAAGACAGGAAGGGCCCTGTAAGATCTTGGACAAGAGGGTACTACTCCACAGGGGAACATCGTGGAAAACTGAAGAAAAATAGAATTAAAAGCTAAGCTCATTTTGGTACCAAGAGTTTTGAAATCCAGATATACAAGGGGTCTTCACAAAATTCATGGGGGAAAAAAAAAGCAACATGTGGAATTCAAAACAATTTGTACCAAAATACACAGAGCCTTTAATCCCATCTCGATGACCTTTTTGAAAATGTCCTCATCTGTAAAGAAAGAACATATCACACAGATACCATTATCCTCTACAACTCAAGGCCTTTGTAATGCTCTCTCTCTCTCTGCTTACAATGTTTTTCCCTAAAACTCTTTGCCTGAGCCAGTTTGTATTTCATTTTCAACTTTCTGCCGAGAGTCTTTGCTCTAATTTTGGTTCCTCAGCCCTTGCTACTCTTTTTCCTTTAAAGTTCTTATCACAATTTATGATTACATGTTTATGAGGGACTTCAGAAAGTTTGCAGAAATGGATGAAAGGTAAGTTTAAAGGTGGGCATTTGGCAGAGTGGTTAAGATGCCTTAGCATGCCAGCAAAACTTTCCTTTGTCTTTGAGAATGAAATAAAATTCTTCCACACTAAAGAAAAGCTCAAAGAATTCAGTTCCTTCTGACCTGCCCTACAAATGACACTCAAAGATGTCCTCTTGACAGAGAAAACAAATAGCACCTAACAAAATCAAAGGGAAACATGGAGAACATCCCAATAAAATGACAACAGAGGACTAAATCAAACAATGAACAACCCATTGCTAAAATGACAGAACCAAATTACTACCAATCCATATTAACCCTGAATGTAAATGACTTAAACTCATCAATCAAATGTCACAGATTAGTGGACTGGATCAAAAAATTAAACTCATGTATCTGATGACAACAGGAGACACATCAACAAAGATGTGAAAGTGGAAATTGAAAGGATAAAAAAATATTCCAGGCTAATGGAAAGGAAAAGCAAGCTGGTGTAGCCATTCTTATGTCAGATAGTATAGACTTTAGCATGAAAAATATTAAGAGATGAAGGGTGCCGCATAATGATCAAAGGATCCATTCAGCAAGAAGATTACCATAATAAATATATATGCACCAGAGCACCTAGCTACATGAAACAAAGATTCATGGATTTAAAGGGAGAAATAGACTCCAATACAATAACAGTGGGGGACCTTAATACCCCATTAACATCAATGGGACAGACTGAGGAGACAGAAACTCACAATGAAACAACAGAGCTCACCCAGACACTAGAGCAAATGGACTTAATTGATATCTATAGAACCTTTCATCCTACAGACAGGTAACACACTTTTTTCATCAGTACATGGAACTTTCTCCAGGATTGACCATGTTATAGGCCATAAAAAAGTCTCAGCAAATTAAAAAAAAATGAAATTACACCATGTACCTTCTCAGACCATCATGGAGTGAAACTGGAGACCAATAGGTCAAAATCCCCCGGAAGATAT